ATTGAGCGGCTGCTCCTCAATATTTAAAGGATTCAGCTGAGGTTGTTGGGGTATCTGATTATAATGCCTGCTGGTCACCCTCCTCTGGGGGGTTTCTGGGCCTGTCCTACTGGAAGAAAACCCCGCAGCAGACCTGGAACTTGCTGGGGGGCCTGTATATCCTCTCTAAGCTGGAAACGCCTCAGGAACCCCCTGGAGGAGCTGGAGTAATGCAAAAGGGAAGGATGTCTGGGCTCTACGTTTTACCTCCATGACTCAATCTTAGACAAGGTGAAGAACAAAGATGGACGGGCTTATGTAGATTGATGTGACACCTTTTGAAGAACAGGATTACAGTTTAAGTTTAACTTTCTTGTTAAACTGAAGCCAAATTATGCAGAACTCCAAAGTCAACAAAGAATCAGAAAAGAGATCTTATTTACATGAGTTATGTGATACACATACAGGTGTGTGAGTTTTCCTTTATAGACAAACTAATCATCATCTATTATGTATGACGTAGTTGTTCCTAATGCAATGCATTTTGGATTTACATTAAAAGGCTGTTATACAAAAATACTGGCCACTCTTGAACTTGCAGGGTTTCATGCTCCTCTCCTATCCTAATGTTTAAAAACAGAACTAAAGCCTGTTTAAACAGAGCTAGCGTAGCATTGTGTGATTTTTACTCTCTCTCTTTTTCTCTCAGTGCTGCAGAGTCCTGCGTCCACAAACCAAACAGAAGAGAATCATATCTTTCTTGCCTAGCTAGTGAAAAAAATCATAACCCCTTAAGGAATTACAATGTGATAATCCCCCTCAAACTTCTATACTTATTAATTTCTACTGCCAAGTGCAGCACTGCTTTCCAGATTTTCTCTTTACAGCTCACAACCGTGAATAATGGCTCATTGCACTTTTACACAGCATTTTAAAGTTGACTTTCATAAGCCAGCTCAAGCTCCCTAATCTATAAAAACACACAGCAGGATTGTTTATACAGAGTCCACTATGCATTCGATGCTCTCAAAAGACTATATTTTCATTAAGATATTTTTTTTGCCTGAATAAAACTTTGTTCTCTTTTATGACAAACTTCCATTAAGAAGGTTAAAATGACTTTGATTCACACATCATGGCATCTCATCAGGAGCATGTGCAGCCAGTGAAGTTAAAATGGGTCAAAGCATCTTTGTAATTACAAACCACATAAACAGCTCTGACTTAATGAAGGCATTAAGGCTTTGTATGGAAGGAAACACAAAATGAGTGTAATTTAAGCAACAAGGAGGAAGGTCACATACAGTTGTTTGTATGTCAGACATCCGACCCAGAAATCTCAGAGGAGGTAAGATTACTATTGTGTTGATAAACATAATCAGTTTTAGAGATATAATTAAGATGTTTTGGGACACGTTATATTGTTTGAATGGAGCATGGAATATTGTGACAAGATTTTAGCTTTCCTTTTTATTTTTGGGACAAACTTAAAGTGACAATGTGTATTTTTACCTTATTTCTATGCAAATATTCATCAAAATGTTGTTGAAAACGAATAAAATGTTGTGCAGTCATTGAAAAATTATTGGCGGCTTCGTAACATATTCCATAAAAAACAGGTCTAAAGTACACAGGGTGCGGGTCTAAGTTTCTGGGGCACCGCATGTTAGATGCCATGTTTCCTTCTAGCCGGCACAGGGTCCTGTGTCTGTCGATGACGTCACACTAGACAACTGGCTGGACTCACGACTTACGAAAGTAACGTTACCACGTTCAAAAACATTTAGGCAGCAAGAAACATACATTTAATAACAAAAGTGCTAAACTCTTTCCAAAACATATGTGAAAGAACAGAATAAAAAATAAATGTCGTATATTTTGGCCGAGTGGTATTGCCGTAGTATGATGCCATCAGCCGGTGCAGGACCCTGAGCAGACAAACTACAGCACCAAAAAACTACAACCAGCATTGCATTCTCTCAGTGGACCATCTGAAGGACCATCAAAGTCTGCAGAGTCACACCAAGGTCACATGCTTTCTGCTCAACAGGCAACATCATTTACTGTCAAATTTTATTTTGATTTATGAAGTGAAAAAAGCCACCAGAACTAACCTGAAATAAAGGTATACTTTGCAACTTTTTCACATTTTTAAAAAATTCTCTTGAGCCAGTATGTGGTAAAATGAACCTTTACAGGGTTAATGTCACTCAGACCTCCACCACCCCCTGTGACCAGAATACTTAGGACTTTGGTGTGTTGGTCCGGTTCCTGTTGGACTTAGTAAAAGTAGAGCTGACATGCCTGGTTCTGGAGTCTGCTTCTAGCATGTTTCCTGCATGTTTTAGATACTTTGTTGGACTTAAGGACGAACCTCTCCTGTAGAAATTAATGAAGACCGAGGAGGCATTTTAGAAGTTAAGGTGTTTAAAAGATAAACGCACAGCGAGTTTACCTTTTGCTTTGACTAACTGGACACTAGGGGGTGCTAAAAAGCAAGTCAAAACTGCAAAGTCTCCCTTCAACAGAGATTAGCCATATTATTCCTTGAGAAGCTCAGTTTAACTTCGCTAGCCACACTTCGGCCTAATTACTGCTAGATGTCCAAATTCAAGCAATCAATCCAATAGAACTAGTCTATTGAAGGAAAGGTGTAGAAGACAGTAGTGAGACCAGCAATGTTGTATTTTTAGTGACACTGAACGATTCACTGTGGTGACTCCTGAAGGGCTGAGAGAGAAAGAAAACTTCAATGGGAAGTGTCTGACAACATTAGGTAGACTCAACAATATCAAAAAGCAACAAGCCATGCCTAGTTCTCAAGAAACTCAAGAACAAATAAATCCATAACTACTAATAATCTTTTTACTTGTGCCTGCTCAGCATGGTGTAAGTGGATACTAAGCAGATTTGATTGCCTTCAGCACCCGCTAGTGACTGCTATTAATTATCTGTGGTCAAAGCAAAAGTGAAACGTATCTATGCGTTTGTCTTTTTACACCTTAATCAGCTGACTTGTCTCCTCAGCCTTCATTAGTGTCTACAGGAGTGATGCATCACTAAATGAAACAACTCAGCTGTGCTCATGATCTAAAACATGGAAGCAGACTGCAGTGCCAGATATGTCAGCTAAAATTTTATTAGTCCAACAGATGGCGGCCCACCAGTCTGAAGTTGCAAATGCAGTATTCTGGGTGACATTTCAATAACCTTCCAAAGGGTAATTTTAGCACACACTGGCCCAAGAAAATTATTTAAAACATATGAAAAAGTTGCATATGCCTTTAACTTGTGTTTGGTTGGTTTTTGATTACAGTAGATAAACAGCTTTAGTGGGTGAGCTCATCACAGCACGGTGGCAGAGTTCAAAAAGTAGCACAAGTGAACTGTGCATAATACGATACTGAACCACAGAAAAGCCAAGATTAAAAAAGAACCACGTAGCCTACCTGTTACCTGTGGAAAAACCTTACCCCTCCTTTTCACCAGAAGTGTAAACATAATTGAGGCATTTTACCCGTGAGCTCTCTTCGATTTCAGATGTGAAACAGGCGCTAAAGCGTTCCGCGCAGCTGGTTCTGCAACATCACAAAACCATGAGAGAATTGCACCATCACGCATGATTTTAGGAGTTCACATATAACAAGCAAGGAGAAAGATGGCAGAGTGTATCCAAAAGGACTGTGGTTCATTCTCTGTTCTGTTTACCTCGGATACAGAGGTTTCAGAGGTAATGGCGAAGGTTTTTTTTACTAGTTAAGCAACTGGAAATCTGCAAGTTACTTTTATTTTGAAAGTCTGCCAGATGCTTTGTACTGGTTTCATGTTTGACTTCCTGTCTGGCCAGAACTGTGGAGTTTGACTGCTCTACAAGCACCTTTACAAAAGGATTCAAAATGTAAGCAGCCATCCTTATGCTTCTAGGATGCATCTAAAATGTGATGCCATGCGGCCAGTGGAAGGGTGCCCACCTAACGGCGGCTGGCTGCAGCAAAATGCGTTTTGCTGTCGTTTTGTGATGTTTTCTGGTGGAAAAGGAGGGGTTAGAACTGTGCAGAGCTGAGTCGGGCCACGCTAAGTAGTGCCTACAAGAAAATGAGCATAAAGCTCTGAATTAGAGGTCAGAATTCACGATTCAACAACAACAAAAAAATGTTAAAATAAATTTTAACAACCCCCGCTAAAATAGCCTAAATTTGGAAGGTTCCAATGACAGTATGGTAGTGAGGTGGTCTAGGACTACTCTGCTGCTCCAGGACCAGAGTGGCTTGCTTTAACAAAGGGAAGCATGAAATAGGCTCTCTACCAGAAAATCCTGAAGGAGAATGTTCAGCCGGCAGTCTCTGGGTGATCTTCACAATTGCTGTTAGCCAAAACGTCAGCTGATAAAACATTTTTTTTCATAAGGAGCTCATGTGTGCTGCACTCTGTTGAAAGTTGTTCAAACTTTGATCTTAAACAGCCTGTTCGTGCAAAAATAAATAAATAAAAATAAGCTGCAATTTGTCTCAATCACAATCATTCAACAAAGAAGAGTGGCTAAAATCCCTCCACAGGGGTGAGACAGACTCATTCAGAAAAAGCATGTATTGGGTAGCATTTTTATCATCTAATAAGTAAAACCACATGTTAAAAACTGCATTTTGTATTTGCTCTGGTCATCATTGTTCATTGATGGAATTTATTTGTTGATCTGAAATATTTATGAACCAAAACCAGAAAATCTACTGTTATAACAGCATTTTAGAGACTTGATCAAATTTCTTAACACAGCTGGCAAAAAATAAGTAAATAAATAAACAAGAACTATCAATAAAATGTTAAAACATTAAGGCGCGTGTGAATGTGTGTGCGCGCGCTAAATGAAATGACTTCATCAGGTAATGACAGGGTAGTGAGAGGGGTTTGAACGAGTCTCTGGACTAAAGGAGAATAATGAATAATTTGTCTGTCTGGTCATCGCGTCCCCCACTCCTCCCACATCCCGCTCCACGCGCCGCAAGCACGTGTTCTCACCACTAATGTGAGCTGGTGTGCATTACAGAGAATGCATAAAGGCAGAGGACAGTACGCGCCCCTGGATGGGAGCTGCTGAAGTCGCAGCCACTCCACTCCAGGTTTTGCCCTGCCCTTGTGCGCTCTTCTAGCCGTGCAGCGTGCGTCCCCGCTGCGTTTCGCTTCCCTCACACTGTCATAAAGACAGGACCGCCGTGTCTCTCTTCCCGTGTATGTGTGTGTGTGTGTTTGTGTGTGCGAGAGGGAGAGAGGGAGAGAGAGAGAGAAGTTGTTGGCGCCTCTATTGAGCACCAGGGATTTCTTCAAGCTCGGACTATTCGTGCGCTTTGACTTCTCTTTCCGAGTGGAAGATGTGGCGGACGCATATAAAGTGAGGAGTTATTTTTTTCTCCCTTTTTTTTATATAAATCTTTATTTTATTTTTTATAAACCAACACCTGCCATCGCGCTGATTTGGAGAGATCTACCACCTTTTGGATTTCTTTTCCACCGGAGCTCGTGCATTTCTGTGTGAAGCACCAGGATTTCACTGATGAATGCGATGTGGAGTCTGCAGCTCGCCTTATGTACTCTGTCGGCGCTGTCCCTGTCATCAGCTGGGGAAAGCAAAGCGCGGAGCTGTAATGAGGTTAGACAGGCTTATAGCGCGAAAGGATTCAGCCTCCTCAATGTACCTCATCAGGAAATATCAGGTAGGCGACCACTCACAAATCATCCGCAACCACGTGTCCCGTCTCCCCCCGCAAATCCATCTGGATGTGTGTGATCATCATCCTCAAACCAAATGAGCACCCCCTCATTCCTGAATGCAGCTGGCCCCAGTTTAGGTCTAGGTAGATCTGACACAAACAAACAAACAAAACACATGGAAACTGTTTTGTGAATCTTTTGCTTTGAATCCAAATTGTGGCTGTTGCTGCTAAGTGTTATAAATTCAGCACATGCTCTTTTGGCAGTTAGGACTATCACCAAGGAGTTTTGCTAGTTAAAGTCCAGGAAACAGTTGAGATATAAATTGGATTTATTTTTCTGCCAAGTTGGCCCAAATAATGGGTTTAACACATCTCCCAATCAGTCCAACTGTGGAACAGTTTATTCACATCTCTAAAAGTTCTGTTGATGACACATTTTTATCCAAACTGGTTGCAGCTTTCATTCATAATCAGGGTTAGGCTTTTTCAGCTTTATTCTCTTAAACTGGTGTCTTCACCAAAAGTTTACAAAATAATCCAACAGCAAAAACACCAAATCAGCCTCAGATATTTTCAAAATAGAAGCATCTCCACTGATTCTGGTGAACGACTGGCTTCTCCAGCGGCTCTGTGAGGCGTGTGCTTCAGATCACACCTGTTGCTCATATTCAACAGAAGATCATGGAGCTTGCTGTGTTAGATTTGGCTAAATAGTGAACAGTGTTTACCAGTAGGGGGCTGTATGCACTCAACATGAATCACTCTCCCTCTCTCTTTCCCTCTGGGTTGGTTTCCACTTAGATATTCCTCAAGGCTACAGCTTAGGTTTTAATTCATGCTCTTTGGAGCTGCAGAGATATGGGGATTTTATTATTTCTTGTGTGTTGGTAATCACATTTATGGCCAGAGCAAGAAAAAAAGAAAAGATGTGTCAGTAAACACAGTCTGCATTGCGAGAGAGTGTAGCAGAGAGACCTGAAACTAATCCCTCTTACAGACAAAAAGAGCTGCTGTGTTGGTGAAAATCAGTGTCAGGCAATAATGATCCCAAAGCCACCTTATTTGTTCTTAACGTGGTTTATGCTGCAAGGAGGATGTGGCATCTGTCAGTAATGGAAGGCTTGTCAGTCGGTGATGCTGTGTAGGTGTCTTAATAGTGCTCATTTCAAGTTAAAGCTCCAAATAATTGCACGTTTAAACAACAAAAATCAAGAATATGTTGCATTTGCGCAGCATCTGCTTCTGTGGCCCCATAAGTATTCTCCTTTGTAATGATTTGTAACTTTTGTCAGTGGCTAAAAATAAATGAGCGTGGTTAGAATAATGGTTCAGGATTACTCGTCTGTTTTATTCTTACTCCCCATCTTCATTTTTATCTTATGTGAAAAGTGAAATATTTATACTGAGCAGACTGACTTTTAGTCACCACCCCCATTATGATTAAAGCCAGTTCTGCACTGAGGTCAGAGGTGTCAAAAGTGCAACATGGTATTTTTTTTCATGTTTTGCACATTTTTTTAATGCAGATGTAAAACCATTGCACAATATTTTATCTTAGTGACCTTTAGGCTTTCTTTTTGTTACTCTGGCAAGTGTTTGAATATTTCTGCTTGTCTTTGATTTCTTTTTTGTATTCTGGTCCAAAACTTTGTCATTTGTACAGCCGTTAGTTTGAACGCTCTTGAAGGGTTGTGAGCATTTCTTGGACATTTGGGATTTTATGTCAAGAAAGAATTCAGTCTCAAATTATTTTCAAACGCTTGAACATGCCATTACTGTGGAGCGTTTTGAGTCATGTTTTTATCTTGGTTTTTATCCTGGAATTCCAGCCCAGTAATTCAGCTGGACATGCGTCGTAGGTCAAGATGCTTCTGAGGTTATGATCAAAATATTTGTACACATCATTTATTGCTCACAACTGTGTGGGCAATTAAATTCAGTTGCTTTCCAATAACCTTTTGCATAAATACAACAGAGGTAGGATATTTGCCTTAGGAGAAGGCTTCAATTATGCCTAATTAGATATGCTAATACAAACGTGTGGCAGGCTGTGTGTGCAGCATTAACCCTTATCCCTCCATCATTTGCTGTGTCATGCCACTGCTTCGCCTCTAGAAACAAAACACCAGTTTAATTCTGGTGAAGAGGTGACTACGTCGGCTTGCAGCTCATATTAGGTAATTGTTTTGACAGCTCTTTGCTACTGACTTTATTAAATTCATTACTTATCAAGTGGCAGATGCAAATAGGTTCATTTATATTACACAAATAAATGAAAGGTGTTTAATCTAAACTAAAATACCAAATGAAAATCATTTCACGGCAAATATTAAGAAAATAATCTTGAGTAATTTTGGAGAAACTTGTTAAAAAAGACCTGTTCAGCAATAACCGTGTTTACGTAAAAGTAACCGTTTCAGTGCCGTGCGTCGGCCGTGTGGTGGTGGTGGTGGGGGTGCCAAAGAGCAGACATGAAAAAGGTGATTAGTATTAAAGTACTCTAGGGGGGTCCAGGGGCATGCCCCCAGTAAAAAAAATTGGACATTTTATATTTAAAAGCATCAGTCTGGTGCAAGTAAAAAGAAATTGAGTCACAAGCTGGTGAGAATGTATGATAAAGTATCAATACACGTTCACAGCATTATATTATATTAGATTGATTATATATCCTGTCCTGTCTTTAATTTATTGTGAACACCGATTACAGCGAAATCCACTGATGCATCCATGCAGCTCAGTACATGAACTGTACTGATGTCACTAGCTATTAAAGAACCAATCAGCTGGCAGAGATGCTGCTGAGTGTGTGAGTGTGCAGAACTTGCAAAACCAAGTGTCTCAATTAAAGGAACAAAGTGGAATCAAGCTGCTGTTATTTATTTGTTGTTGGTGATATAGAAACTAAATATATCTGCAGGGCTTTAGGCCCAGGGCGGTTTTATACCTCAGAACAAACTACATCCAGACTTGTTATTAATAACATTGTGTATTACTTACACCAATCAGAATATTCTGTAATGTACACAGACATCCAAACCTTAGAAATGAAATAAAATCAATACTGAAATAAAAAATGACTAACATTGTTTCTTCATCTGAGAACACTTTTTTTTTAATATTTGATATTGTCCAGCTGAAGTAGACATCTGCTTTTTCTAATAGAGCTGAGCTGTGGTAGAAAATATTCAGGCTTTTTAAATCTTAATTTCCATCATCTGTGGGTTTAGTGCATTCATTTAATATTAATTATAACATTATAAATAACAAGTCACTTCTGTTTGGGCATAGAACGTGTTTCTATGAACAGAAGCTTGTTGGCAGCAGCTCACCTGTTCCACTGACAGGAGAAATCCTCTCATCAGCAGCAGGTGATAGACAGGGTAACACTGGCCCGAAAAAAAAAAAACCCACCAAACTCAAACCGGGCCACCGGGAATTTCCCCAGCTGGTTCCTGGTTACCGCTGCCGTTGGATAAATAAACACACATCTTAGATCTGTGGCTCGTATGAAACCAAAACCAGAGTGCACCGCGGGAGCGAGATTGTAATTAGCGCACGTTGTTACCAATGTTGGGCACGTTACTTCAAAACTGTAATGCATTATTTATTACTTGTTACCCTCATTTTAAAGTAATTAATTACATTACAATATTACTGATTTGAAAATGTAAGGCATTACACTACTTTTGCATTACTCTAAGTTACTTTCACCAATACAACTTCAATATGAATCTGGTAATCTGACGCTCAGTGAGCTCATGACATACAGTATATGTGGAAAGTGATGTGGTATCTGAGCTAGGATTGCTGTTGAAAACATTCAGATATAATAACAGTGCTTTAAAATGATTGTTTGCTAAATAAAAGCAACAACAATCTGTACTCTCAGCATGCTGCCATCTTATATTAACTGAGCAGAGAGTGAGGTGGTTGGGGTTCCAAGCCTATATTTGCCCTGGTCATCAAATGCCTTGATACGGCCCTGGATGTGGGACTGACTTCTGGGGTGATCTGACTCTATCACATGTATAAATATTAAATGCTTGTATATTATTGTTTTCACTGGTAAAAATGTGTATTGGGGATAAATCTACCTACTTTTTTCTTTTCAAGCACTTTGTTTTATTTTCTTGATTTTATTTGAATAATTTCCTGCCCTTTCTCTCTCTAACCTTCCTGCATGCTGCATGTTTTCTCCGTCTTCCAAAAAAACTGTAAACTAGATTTCCTACTTTCTTTCTAACTACTCAGCCAAAGGGATCTACCGAACGCAAAAAAAAAATATTTAAAAAAATAAGAATAAAAAGCTTAATATGCGCTGTGCTCCAGCAGCAATGAGTTGAAAACACCGGGGCACAGATTATGAAGTCAGCTGAAAAATACATGAAGTACCAGAGAATATGGGCTGATATAAACGATCGCAAACAAATTACTTTGTTTTGGTTAGGGTTAGGGTTAGGGTTAGGGTGTACCGTTTGGCGGGTCCGTGAGTCATCAAAATGTTTGTAGTGGTGTGTGTGTGTGTGTGTGTGTGTGTGTGTGTGTGTGTGTGTGTGTGTGTGTGTGTGTGTGTGTGTGTGTGTGTGTGCGTGTGTCGGAAGTTTGTAGTGGGTGTGTGATGTGTGTAGGATGCGTTTGTCTAAACGTATTATTGCGAAAAGCACAAGAAAAAGGCCGAAAGACTGGGACTACAAAGAACTACAATTCGCGGGAAAATTACTTCAAAGAATGTAATTGGGTGAGTGACAATCATGTGACAGTTCCCGTTGACAATGTGATGATGTTTATTCTAGTGTGTGAAACATTGTGAGCTGCAGGTCAGAACGAAACAGTGTCTGTGTCTGAATGAAAACTCTTTTCTTTTATGCACATTTTGGTTGTTTTTTGCAAACTCATTAGCGGAACTACGCAGCGCTCTGGGCATGTTCAGTGTGTGAGATATTAGTGTAACTCCTCGGGTTTGATATGCAAAAAAAGTTTTGTTCTATCTTATATAGTTT